AAGCAAACCGTGCCAAAACTGACTGGCTTTGTGATGAGCATAGAATAAAAATCACCTAGATGTTCACATCGGAGCAGAAGGTTCAGCAGATTGGATTAAACGGATTCCGGGTTCGTCTGGAGCCAGGTGAAGTGTTAGCTTGCAGTTGTAGGCAGGTGAACAAGTGAGCGAGACGACATAGTCTAAAATAAGGAGTGAATAGTTGCGGGCATGCTACAAAACTGTGTATCGTGGTACCGTGTCATCCATGCGCTGACATACCTCGGTTTCTGGATAACCCCATGACGGACTTCATGTTTGAGGTAACTGGGCTGGGATGTGCGATTAAGTGAACAACGTGATTGTTTGGGCCGGCCAAGGGAAACGCAGAGGTGGAAGATGCCAATGTAAGATCCCAGGTGTTTTTTGGTCCAAATAGGGGTCCCTTCGGGTTCCTTTGACCTTTGACCTCAGAGACTGGTAAGCCAGAACGATTGCAACGCATTTCTCCATCGCTAAAGAAATAGAATACTAGCTTTCCCAAAAAATTCATGTTCCTGTTATCCTTCCTCTTAGACTAATATATAGACGTCGTTCAGCTGACTTCGCAAGGAGAGCGAGATGGAACAGGATATTCTAGTGCTATAATTACTGGTTCTCCTCATATTATAGGTTGGTATGTGTATCGTCTCACCACAAACCTCTGCTTGCTTTTATACACGCGTGTCTATACAAGTGGAGCATCAAAAATCACATATTCACATTATTTTCCTTCCCTCATAAAGGCAGTGTTGCCAAGACACCAAAGAAAAAACAGCAAACATTGGTAATTTCGACTCAGTTTTATTGGTGCTGGTTAGACAAGTGAGGGTGATTCACATGGAGAACGACTCGGACCCTTACTCAGCTTCACCGCCTGATAGGGTTCAGGAAGTGGGGCCATCTACGTCCTTCCTGAAATCAAACCACAAAGCTAAGCGTGGGAGCATGAGTTTCAAGTGATGCTGCTATGTGAATCAGCATGTGTAAAAAGCATGAGCACAGGGTTCACTCGTCGAGTTGGGTCTGGCTCCGAGGATGTCCTGATCATTTTCTGGATATTTGATCTAGATGGAGAATGTAAAAATGCACAATGAGTCATCATTGATGGTAATCGTTGGTTTGTTTGCTGTGGTATTTGGTCGCAACCGTTTCGCCACTAATTGAGTTAACACTTTCAGCATTTTGTTACGGAGCGCAGTGGTACGAGCAACGGTAACAAGTGCAAGAAAAAGTCACCAGTTCAGCATTACGTCAAAAATATATCGGAACCCACAACAAGATCATTAGTTCAAGAGGAAACTTCGTGAGGCACAAACCGAATGCCACTCCAGAAAAATTAAACTCAAGGCCGAAGGACAACGCAGACAAAACCAAGAGGAGCAGTGTGATATGTCAAATTAAGTGTAACGACCGCAACAACTTCTACCTTGGACAAACTGAGAAATTATACACACAAACAGAAAAGTACAACCCCTATCCTTGGTATCCACGCCCAAAGGCTAAAAGTCTACAAATTCATTTTTAAGAAGGCAGATTTTTTGGCACAAGGAGATGCGCGACATATAAAAGAATTTCCGGAAACATGGTACCCCACGTCGCATTTCATCAACCGATAATTTGAGCTGGATCCAATTTACCATGCCGAATAACGGATACGCCAATAAAGCAAGGTCACCAGCCGGAACCCGGAACAGCCATGAACAGAGGTCACTCCAGTACAGACTAGATGAAATAGGGTGGGGGTGCGCAGTCCAAAAGTTATGTGGGTAGCGGCAAACCAGGAGTCAGGATACCAGAGCAACCAACGGAACCGCCCGACCGAACAACTAATCAAGATTGAGGGTCAGCCTCGGCTAGCGCGCGGACACTGACACACGCAGCACCACTCAACGCACAGCCGCCACTCCATCGCTACACACCGTTACGCCCCTTAACAACGCACTGATATTGTCACCTTGGTTAGCGAGGAATCGTTTGCCATCAAGCTGCCCAGCTTAGCGAACCAACCAGCGACCTCCTACGCTGCCCGAATTCAGTTCCGCCGTCTTACATGGCCGGATTTCACACTCCACAAACTCACTCGTGAACATGGTTTTGCAGATACTGTCAAGTTCCTAGAACAAATACTCGGTGAACAAAGTTCTTTGTCCACTATTCATCATCAGTGCCTAAGATTATGAAAGGGCATGTTCGAGACTTCATAATAATGCTGGCGTGACCAACAGGCAATGCAAGCATTCTCAGCTCGCCCCCATGACCGAGGATCAATTCGAGTGCCACATCTTCGTGGCTGGTCTTCAATCGCCACATGATGCAGATTTTCGGACCTGGCTACAGAATCGAAATGAATAGGAACCGGAGTCAACACCGCAGAAGCCCACCACCTAATGCCAGCGTCTTAGCAACCTTAAGACTGAACTGCAGGGAAATCGCCCATACCCTGTTAGTTTTTTAAGAGTGGCAGTATCCACGCCACTGTTTCCACCGAAACCACAGGTACAGCAACGGCAGTCGAATGGGTCACAAAGAACGCTGTAGAATCAGATTCATGATCTCGTGCAAACACTGGCCCAACAAAACGATGCAGGCAGGGAACATGGCCTCTGATTTTGGGATGAAATCATCCAGTCAACACAAATTCGCCACAGTATGTAGCATCGGCAGACCGGTTACACGTTCTGAACTCACGCTGATTTCGAGACGAACCTGGGACGTGATCGGGAAACCACCAGTGGGACACAAAAAGTGCACCACCTGTAATGCATCTGGTGAAATCTTGAAGTCGCGTGGGAAGCTGGTTTGTTCCCTGACAAACAAAAGTATGCAACTCAATGGAACTTGCTACCTACAAACTGTGAAGGCCCTGATATGTTGTGACTGGATTAGATAAAGGAGTCTAAACGTTTCGAGCAACCCCTCAGTGCCGTTTGTAACGAAACAACTGGAGATGGCCACAGTGTCCACGAACTTGTGGTCACGATAGCTAGAGCTAAACAGGAGACCAGAGGGAGCGCACGCGACGCAGCGACAATTCAGCTCATGACGTCAGGCATCAGGAAACCTCTCATCCAAGTCCATTTTGGCGAATCCTGACAGGACCTTACAACGTTCCTATCAGACAGATCACTCCAAGTGAGAATAGGCTCGACCTACTATTCTCTAGCGCCGGTCTCCACTGGAGTTCCTCAAGGCTTCGTCCTGGGACCAGTACTGTTTCTGATCTACGACAACGACCTCACAGATGCTTCTGCAAGTCCATGTCAACTTTTTGCGGATGGCTTGAAATCCTGGAGTTCCAATACCAGTGCCCTCCAAATGGGTGCAGACGCTGCCAAGCAGCGGTCGTTGGACTGGCACCTTCCTCTGAATGATGAAAAGTGCGTCCATATGTCGTTTGGAACAGACTCAGCGAATGCCTTTGTTATGCATGGTGAAAAGGGACCAGAAGACATCACGAGGATAGATGCCAAAAAGGAGTTGGGCATCTGNTGTAACTATACAGTCGAAAATGAGGTATTTATCGTGCAGGTCCAATTTTTATGGGACGAACTAACGAGAAATTGTTTACGATTTGTGCTAGTAGCATCAGCCGTTATACATAGTCGCTGGATGGTGCTTTAGGTATCACTAGTTTGTCAGCAACACTTACAGCGCGTGCATACAAAAATGGTGTAAGTTACCGGAGATCGCACAATAAGGCCATGATATCTTGGGCAAATACAGCTAGACTGTAACCGAAACGAACACCTAAAAACCATTGCAGTGCACATAAACCAACATAAGGCGACAATGTTATTCACTGAGCTACTCATAGGTCAGAAAAAGGAAAATCAAAAGGCTGTGATAGTGACACTAAACGACAATAACAACTTCCTACGACGGTCCTACACACTCCCTCTTGAACCCAATTTAAAGCACTATTAAACATTTATTTATGCGAATCCTCGCGCTGGCAGGCACACTGCCCCCCGCTGAGAACAAAATGAGCAGTGCTATACCCTTTTTTTCACTTGTGCCTTCCAGATGAACGACAGCCATTGACCGACAAGAACAGAAGCGACCCGGGAAACTTGGGCAACAGCCTCGATCCTTTGCATAAATCGGCTAATCCGTGAATCCGTGAAACGTTATACCCGCTTTCCGAACCCTTTATCATACGGTCTCAGGTTCATGCGGATCGTTCAACTGAGATCCAGAAAGTCAAGAGGGATAGCCTGCAGCAGGGACGCCATATCAATCAAAGAGAAGCTTTTTACTGCTTTGTTTGTATGAGGATTGCCCTCCGCGATGGACGCAGGGTCGAACACGTCAGTCACGGGGAATAGATTTGTTGATAGACACGATCAGTTCAAGGGAACCAAACGAGAAGCAGACTGTGGTTCCGTAAAAGAAACATGCCGCATAGGATGCCGGACAGCTGTGACATGCCTCTGAAGTAGAGAGTTTCAGATCCCAGATCGGGAAACTTAAGCGAAAGCCCCGATCCCCGATATCAATCCGTGAATCCCTGAATGCTCACGCCCCTATGGACACATCAACATGCTACAGCATATCCATGAGTCGTCACAGTTTAGAGGAGCGGTCGATTGAACAGCCTTCTCAAGGGGAAGGGCTTTGAAGGCCATCCGTATCTAATAACTCAACATCCTATCAATTAGACGGATGCGTCACGTGCGGACTACGGACAAAACGAAGGTTTGCCGTGATTCGTCAGAATGCCAGCCGACCGGATCGAGCATCTTTAGCCCAACGCTTCTTCCCCCTCGTGGAGATTCTAGTGTAGTATAGTGTATTCACGGATTCGCGTATTGATACACAGAATCGAGGCTTTTTCCCAAGTTTCCCGGGTCTGTTTTGTTCTTGTCGGTCAGTGGCTGTCATCAAACTGGAAATCACAAGTGAAAAAAGGGTGTAGCACTGCTCTTTATGTTCACAGCGCGAGGCAGTATGCTTGCCAGCGCGAGGATTCGCATAAATAAATGTTTAATAGTGCTTTAAATTGGGTTCAAGAGGGAGTGTGTAGGACCGTCGTAGGAAGTTGTTATTGTCGTTTAGTGTCACTATCACAGCCTTTTGATTTTCCTTTTTCTGACCTATGAGTAGCTCAGTGAATAACATTGTCGCCTTATGTTGGTTTATGTGCACTGCAATGGTTTTTAGGTGTTCGTTTCGGTTACAGTCTAGCTGTATTTGCCCAAGATATCATGGCCTTATTGTGCGATCTCCGGTAACTTACACCATTTTTGTATGCACGCGCTGTAAGTGTTGCTGACAAACTAGTGATACCTAAAGCACCATCCAGCGACTATGTATAACGGCTGATGCTACTAGCACAAATCGTAAACAATTTCTCGTTAGTTCGTCCCATAAAAATTGGACCTGCACGATAAATACCTCATTTTCGACTGTATAGTTACACATTGTCGTTGAATGGCGTTTTAGGTATCATTGATTTGTGTCAAAAACACTCATCACATGCACGTAGGGACCGTGTAAGTCACCGAGGATTATTATTTAAAAAACGTTACACCTTGGGCAAAGACGAAGTGCGACTGGAACAAACGCTGTTACAGTGCATATGAGCCAAATTAAGGTTCTATTTTTGTCGGGATCCTACGGAGCCTTTCATGAACTCCTCATAGGTGACAAAAATGAAAAATCGGAAAGTTGTGGCAATCGGGATATTCTGTATAACTATATAGCCGTAGATGAGGTATTTATCGTGCAATTTGTATGAGACGAACCAAAATAGATTGTTGACGAGGTTATGGTAATGCCATCAGTATCACATTAGGTATCACTATTACCACTGACGCATCAGCATCGGTTTCTGTTTTCCATCCACAACACTTTTCGTGAACACACTTTCGTGAATACAGTTTTAATAATCCTCCCTTGTCACCAAAATGGCTACCTGAAGCTACCATTCCTTTTGGCATACTATAATGGACAGAGTAGGTAGCCAAGTACCGACACGGCGTTGCAAGACGTCACCAAGTCACAACAGCGCTATGTTGTGCTACATTAACTGGGTAGCTTTTTTCCTCGTTCCACAGATGTTCACGCGGTCCACCATTCTTTTCATTTTCTATGGGTTTACCATCGTAGCGTGGGAGGTGAGCATCATCGTTTTCCTGTTCGCTGCAGTGCAAACATGGTTGGCTTTCAGGTGTCCCGCAAGGATTTCGAATGTAAGGACAAACGGACCGTCTATTGGTTCACTGCAAAGGAGGGATCGCAGGTGATACACTTTATATCCGCTGCGGATTTCCATGTGCGGCCTCCTGCAATAATTGTTTTGCACTCGAACTTCATGGATTCCACGGTTTCCATTAATTGCACGGCGTATGAGAAAAATGCGACATTCCGGAATTCGGTTAAAGTTTCGGCGGTAACGGCGTCCTACGGCTTGGTTTTGTATGAGGTGAGTCCAAATTTCACAAATAATTCGAGGGCCTTCTGTGTTTTTAGCTATGCGACTACATTGATATCGGTGATAAAGCAGAGCTTCCTCCAGACACGGATTGCCACAACTATTTTGGCTCCAATCTTGACTGGGAATTAAAGGACGCGATGCCTAATAGCGCCAATGAAGTCACCGTTTCTTTTATCGGAACGAAACTTAATGATTCTGGTGATTTATTTCTTCCAGGTGGATCGGTGAAGGTGCAAGTGGGTGATGGTTTTCACTTTTTCCTACTGTCAACCTTTAGTAACTGCTGCTGATTATTGTCGGTCGACATCCCGAGCACGCGTTCATATCAGTAGCAAATGCTCCTTTAACAAGTCGTCCTCCGAGAATTATGTTTCCCTCCATGGATATTTCTAGTCTTTTCTTGAGGCTCCTTACTAGTTAGTCGGTTCAGAAATCCATAACACAGCAGTGTCAACGACAATCACCACCCCTTATGTTCAGTGCACTTGGTGTGTAGATTCCGTTCGCCACAGTATTACACTCGGGAGATTTGCTGCCCAAAGCCAGAGCATCTTGCCAACAAGCTGCAAGAACCTCAATCTAGATAGGTCACTGGAGCGGAGGTCTCCAGAAATGACTCCTTCTGGTTGGGACATCATCATCATCAACGACAGCATGACATCAGTGTTCAACACCAATGCTTCACTGCCGTACAGCCATGACTTATTTGAAAGCCTTATTGTAAGGAAAAGAATAAAGGTGGATGGGGGAGGGACTTAGTGCTAGCTTAACACAATCATTCCGAGGTGCCTATACC